ATCCACGGTTGAAAAATATGATTCCTCAAGTCACAAATATATGCGTGCCAGTTTTCTCACACCAAAGGTGTACGATTGTCATAAACTATTGAACAAACCCAAAACATATTACCTTGAGTCACTTTAAAAGTAATACATTACGCTACACTCTTGTTCACCAAAAACATGTATGATATAGAGTCATTATGTACATTTTATAAACCACATGAGTGTCCCTTAACTAGGAGTGTGAATAGGCTGGGTCGAACTAGACTTTTTCAAGCTTGAGTCTGACCTGCTAAAAAATTCAGTCTAAGTTTGGCCTCTAGCCTATCATAGACTTATTTTTAGGACCAAGTCTAACCTTTTCAAATGCCTGATTGGCCTACTAACCTACTTAAAAGCCTACTTCATTTGAAAATTTGTAAATAAGTAATATAGTTAATGTTAAATAGACTAACAAATTAAAAGATCAATGAGACCAAATGTTTTTCTATTGACTAATTCAAATTTACCTATTAGCATAAGTTTTATGATACTATTTATTAGAAAAAATCATGAAAACAACTTATGACAACAACTTATAACATTGTTCTAAAATTTTTTTCAACTTATGTTCATAATTTTTTCGTGATAACTAAGTTTTCTAAGTCATTTTTATTTAAAAAAAGTTTAATCTAACCTAAATCTCTCACCTATTCCCTTCCTCAACCTTCTTTATATCAACAATCATATAACCACTTGCGAAATCTCATAGAAAGATAAAATTTTGTACGAGTTTCACAAATAACAACCACCTCAAGCTTGAAAGGCTTTAGAATTTGTAACTAGCAAAGTCTCTCATATTTCACTAGAATTTTAAAGTCTTTAAAATCAATCACGAGAAGAAAAAAATTACACAACCTAATTCAAATCCCTAAGCATGGAGTCTCGACAACAAAGTCCCCCATATTCTTCCATATGTCTTTATCATCCTCTTGAGAATTCATTTTCATTCATATTAATGCTTTGAGAAACCATTTTTATTCATATTAATGCTTATTCTTTTAGCCTCATCATCGGGTATATTAAATCTTTCAAAAATTAGTATAAACTTTTTTTTATTTTTATAAATTGAGTATCTTCTTGACTCAATTGTATTTTTAATTAAATTAGAAGAGATTCACCCAATCTCATTCAAATATTTTTGGATTAAATTAACATATAATTTAAGAGAGATATTTATTTATTTATTAAAATTTTAACAATAAATATAACATGTAAGAAGATAGAAATACATAAATAAAGTACTCTTTGTATCTCAATTTACATCAAAAAAGTTTTTGTCAAAAATTATAGATCACGGTAAAAAAAGTTGTCCCAAATATGAATGGTTTTACAATTGCAACGTAACATTAATATTTTTTTTAATTATTCTGTATTATTTATTATTCATTTTTCTTTCAATTTTTATTTTTATTTTTTACCTATATATTTAATTAATAAAAATATTATAAAATCATATATAATTTTTATTTTTTATACAAAATTAATTAAACTCTTTAATTGGTGTAAAATATCCAAAATGACTTATATTTTAAAATGGAGAAAATATCTCATGCGATTATTTTAAAAAATAAAGGGTTAATAGCTATTTTGGTTCTGTCATATAGACGAGTTTTAAAAAATCTCTCTATAATTTTTTTTTTCAAAAATCTCTCTGTCATATGAAGATTCTCTCGTTTTATTCCCTCAAAAAGCTCAAGCATAAAAAATAATAACATAGTAGAGAGATTTTTCAAAAATCGCTATTTTAACAAGGAGTTTTTCAAAAAATCATTAATTTAACAAGAGATTAAATATGTATAAATCTTTAAAAACATGAGATAAATTACATAAAATTTAATAGATTATTAATGAGTAAACTTCTTGAAGAGACAAAACGAGAAAATCTTCATATAATAAAGATCTTTGAAACTTTTGTTTTTACAGAGAAATTTTTCAAAACTCGTCTATATTACAGAAAACAAAATAACTATTAACTCAAAAATAAAATAATAGAGCATATAACTAGTATAGAACTAATTTTACTCTATGGATTATTAACAATTCTATCTACTCATTATTGGAATTGTAAAATAAAAAAAATAACTAAATATTCAAACTCTCATTTATCTACACATATTTGTAAGTTAATGATCATGTTAGTATTACAAATTTCAACTTTAAGTTTTCCTTTTCAAAATTAGAGTTCTTATTAGGTGACATAAAAATATGCAATAACCAATAAAATGAGAGGTTTTGGTTACATAAAATTAGGTAAAAAAAACAAGCAAGAAATTGAGAAGAAAAAAACATCTATCTTGTTTTGCTCCCTTTCTTTTCTCCTCAAACTCAACCTATCCACTCAATTCAAACACACTTCTTCTCTCATCATCTCATCTCATGTGCTATCAAATTCAATCTTGTTCCTCTTCCTAGCATAGCATAGTATTATTATATATATCACTATTACTCTCTTTACTTGTCTTGTGTATAAATGGCACATGTTCATACTATTCGATTACAATTTCAATCTCTTCGACTTCCATCTCCCTCTTTCTTCACTACTCTCCCACCGCTTCCACCTAAGAGCCTCTTCTCTCTGCCACCGCAATCTCATTTCAAATCCAGAAAACAATTGCTTCCTTTCAAGGTAACCTTTTTTTTTTATTATTATTATTATTATTACACAATTAAGTGAGAAATTAAGTAACTTTATGCCAACCCTTGTTTTAGTTTTGCTCTAATTGCATTTTTATAACACATTTCAATCTTGGGTAGGAAGATTAAGAAAAACCCTTTTTTTGTTATTGAAATATTTTGTTCACATTTATGTATCAGTCAATGCTATTTGTTTAATTTTCCTTTGCATTTTTATAAATTGCGAGTTTATGTGTGAAATAAGGTAATTATTTTGGAAAAAATTGGTTATAGTAAACAAACACATGAGTAAATGACCATACTTTGTTGTTACTATGTTTTGTTGTAACAGTTTTTGTTGGTTTTTACTCAGGTATGTGCAGCTGTTGGAGAAAATGGTCAGCCAAAGTGGTGGGAAAAGAATGCACCAAACATGGTTGACATTCACTCCACACAAGAATTTCTGAATGCTTTGAGTCAAGCCGAGGATAGACTAGTTATTGTTGAATTTTATGGGACTTGGTGTGCTTCTTGCCGAGCGTTATTCCCCAAGGTTCTCTTTCACTCATTTCCTTTCTCGATGTCTTCCATTAAAGGGTAAATAACTGTCATGTAATTGGCTGGGTCGTTTGTCGAATGTGATCGACATGAGTCAAAGGTTATGCGTTGGTTCTAGGAGTGATACTAATCTTTAAGTCTAAGTATTGATTTTTCGTTCCCTTACAACATTAAAGAGTGACTTGGTGTAACACTTATAGTAAAAATAATGGTGGAAGCTAGGCATTAGTGGTTTGAGCTTGTATAGAGGAAACCCGTGGATCGTGTAGTAAGAGGGGTAGATCAGAAGAAGGATAGTCACCCGAATACAATAGAGACAAGGGCCTTAGAAACCCGCTACAAAAGCAGTACAACAACCACTGAACTAAAAACAAACACACCTGCATTTTCCTCTTGACGAAGAAGAGCGAAACCGAAAGCTCCCATTATTCACCCAAACCAATAAAAGGACGGATCCATCAATGATTAACATCATAGACAAGACTTTATCATTATATTTAAGCCAGAGCCTCAACGTTTTATGATAGAAATATCTTATATGATAGAACACCGTTTTATCTATGTAGCTGACCCAACTTGTTGGATTAAAATTTCGTTGTTGTTGCTGACGAAATTATAATATGGCTTTGGCAGCTATGCAGAACAGCTGAAGAACACCCTGAAATTGTTTTTCTGAAAGTAAATTTTGACGAGAATAAACCGATGTGCAAAAGTCTGAATGTTAAAGTACTTCCTTACTTCCACTTTTATAGAGGGGCCGAGGGGCAGCTGGAATCTTTTTCATGTTCGCTTGCCAAGGTAATTTATCATGCTAATAAGTATTTCTAGCTTCAATTTAAGAAAATGAGCATTGGATAGTTACGGTACGCATTTCAAATGTGCGATGATAGAATTTAAATATATAGAATGCCGGGAGGAAAATCTTTAACTTTAATAATAAGCTAATAACAGTTCTTTTGAAAATTACAGTTTCAGAAAATAAAGGATGCCATCTTGACACATAACACAGCTCGATGCAGCATCGGTCCTCCCAAGGGAATCGGTAATTTGGTTCTTGAATCGTCCTCCGCTCCCAAGGATAAACCAGCAGAATCTGTTTGATAATCAAAACACCTCCATCCATGAATCTGTAGCTTATAAGTTTGCCTCCCAAACTGTAACTCACCTGGAAGCTGCGATCGAGAAAAGAGTTACGATGTGTAATCTGTATATCTCTACACTTGTATTTTTTTGATCTGTTTTTTTTTCTTCTCTTAATCATTCATTAGCTGATTGTAATCAAGCACTTGAAAACTTCAGCAAAAATGACATGTTAGGTGTTAATTTGTATTTACTTGAAAAACTTATGTATCTGTTATAGCTTGATTCTTTTGCTTATTCAGTAGACAAGCAAATAATTTAATAATTTAACTTTTAATTTTTATTTTATTTTATAAATATTTCTGCTATTATGTTATGGAAACTATGTCCTTGATTCTATTTGATTTAGAAATAAACATATTTTCTTTTTTTATTATCTAAAATTTGTACTAATTTTATTTTTTATCAATGAGATCTACAAGCATCACAAAACACAAGAACTTGTCCTAAAAAACCGTAGAGATCCACAACATTTGGGTTTGTTAAGGATATTCTAACATCAATGGTTAAAACATTAGAATTTTTTTTTTCTTTTTCAAATGTAACATTATCTTTTTACTCTGTTAAACATTATCATGCCAGAGAGAAAGTAACAACCAAACTATCTTCAGTTTGGACCATTCCTTGTTCTCTCCACCTTTCTCTTGATAACAAAGAGGAAGATGACGACCTACGGAACCATCTTGGAAGACGAAGAAATTCCATCACATACAAATTTACTATATGTTTCGGAGGCGAAAGATCGATTCCAGGCGAGTCTAGGTGTAACAAGACCATGGACAGAAATGATCCAATTATCTCATTTCAAACTCCCGTCTTCTTTCTTCGACACACTTCAAAGAATCAACACGAACGCGAAACATTTCCGCGCAAATTACGTTATCATCATATTGTTCATTCTTTTCCTTAGCTTACTAGGAAACCCTACATCGTTAATCATATTAATTGTGATGATGTTTGGATGGTTGTACTTGTATTTCCTAAGAGTTACACCTTTGGTAATTTTGAGGTATCAAATTGATGAGAGATTGGTGGTAATATCCTTGTTGTTGATCACCATTGGTTTTCTTGTTCTAACAAATGTAACACATAATGTGATAGTTGGTATGAGTGTTGCTCTAGGTGTTGTGTTGATCCATGCTGTATTGAGAGAAACTGAGGATCTTTTCACATTGGATGAAGAAGTAAGAATTGTAAGAGGTGTTACAGAAGTTATCAAAGTCCCTCTTAGACAACCTGGTTCATCTTCTTTTACTTTGCCTCCTTAGAAAATTAGTTACAAATTCATGTGTCACATTATATAGAATCAACATGGAACTTATATTTCATTTCTTGTAATACAATATATATTCATCATTCAATGGATTCATTTTGTTATCTTTGATTTTCCTACACTTAATCCTTCAATGTGTATCTTGTTACAATATATAGAGAATGAATTGTGAAGACAATTGTTTTTTACATTCATTGTGTCAAAAACATGAACTCGATTATCCTAAATTCTATTCCACACAATGTAATTTTACGAAAGAAAGCGTGAAAGTGGTCATTTATTGAAGAAACTTTTAAATTTAAATGTAATTTCTATGAATTTTGTAAAGACTTAATATTTTATATTTCTTAAATTTCAATTAATTAGAAATCTCTCTAATTCTAAATTTTGTTTTAGACTTTAATAAACGGATTTGAATATATCTAATATTCATTATATATAAACTCTTGCTTGTATAAAAAAAGCTATTATTTAATTCTAAAAAAACAAATTATAATCAACTTTGTTGATGTCGTATTCATAATGTTCCATCACGTAGTGCTACATTAATAAATAAATAAATAAAATCACTATTATATTGTTTTACAAGGATATGTATGCAATTCAAGTTTGTTTATATGCTAACGAATTTCATTTATTTTTAGGTAATGAGTATATTATATAAAATGGATTTAGAAATATGCTGAATCAGTCCTTTTGTCATTAATAATTAACTCGATGCAAATTCTGTTTCATCGCTCTAAGTACTAATTTTCTATTAAAAAAAGCAAGATGCTTGCCTTTTTAAGTAAATAAGAAATGAGAAAATTTATATACAATTTTTTAGTTGTAATTTTTATTATTTTTTTAATAAAATATAATAAATATATTTAAATATTGTTTAAGGAATAAAAATAGAAGAAAAAAAATTATATATATATGAGAAAATTATATATTTATTATATTTCATTGAAAAATACTAAAAATTACACATACAGAATTGTATCTAAGTTTTCTCTAATAAAAATTATTGCAATAATAACAACAAACTAGTGTCTTTAGATCAAAGTTTATTAAAAATAGATTGTTTTATTCTTCTTCTTGTATTTCCCCTTAAATTTAGGTCCGAAGAGTTTAAAAGTGTTTCAACTTCCTTAAATATTTTTAAAGATTTCCGGCTCTCTAAGTTTTTTTATTAGAATTGTCACACCCTCCTTCTATCTCCGTCAGTAAATTTCTAAAGTTTAAAAAGATAAGAATAACAAAGTTACATATTTAAAACACAATTCCTTAATAAATTATTTAAACTGGATCCAATATCAGACAGACTTGAATCATCTGTCGAAATCAGCCACCAACCTCCATCACCTTTTACCACACCTCATGTGAACGGGTCAACTGGACTTCCATGTTGTTGGGTGACTTCATCAAGCAGGTCAGTTGAACTGTATAGATTATTCTTATTAGTACATTCACTGAAATGCTCTCACCGCCTGGTGGGAGTGTTGATCTCCACTGGTATCATTGCGTCAGCCCCATATACCATTCAGAAAGGTGTTTCCCGGGTAGTGGAGTGAGGTGTTGTATGGTATGACTAAAGGATTTCATGGAGGCATTCAAACCAGAGGCCTATGGATTCATCACTTCTTTTTCATCCCAGTTAGGATTATCTTATTTGCTGCTTCTGTTTGTCTGTTGGCCTGAGAGTGTTCTATCGATGTGAATTTGTTTTGTACCTAAGTCTTTGCAAAACTCCACCACGGAGGCACTCGCAAATTGGGTTCCATTGTCAGACACTATGACCCTGGGTAAGCCGAACCTGCATATAATATTTTTCCAGTAAAAGCCATATACCTTCTCGACTGTGATGCGTGCCACAGCCTCAGCTTCCACCCATTTAGTAAAGTAATCTACAACCATAATTAAGAATTTGAGTTGTCCATGCGCGGTGAGAAATAGGCCTAGTATGTCTGCTCCCCATTGGTAGAACGACCATGGAGAAAAGATGGAGTGCAACAACTCGGCTGACGAGTGTATGAATGAGGCATATACCTGGAACTTATCACATTTGCTTACAAACTAGGCACGGTCTTGTAGCATACGGGGCCAATAATACCCGACACTGAGGATTTTTACTGATAAGGCTCTTCCTCCGATATGACTATCACATACTCATTCATGGACCTCTCTCATTATCAGTGTAGTCTCGATTTCTGATACACATCTTAACATAGGCTTTGATCTCCTCATCTTGTATATCTTGTCGGCCACTATGAGATAGCACATGGATATCTTTTTTATGTGCCTCTTTATTGATATCTTCGTGTAGGATCCCCTGCATCAAGTATTGTATTATTGGTTCCATCCATCTGGTTGACTGCTCAATTGCCATGGTTTCTTCGCTTTCAGTACTCGTCCTTTCCAAGATCTCTTGTATCACTATTTTGTTCAACCCTGACCCTTTAGTACTGGCAAGTTGGGCCAACAGGTCGGCTCATACATTTTCTTCTCTTGGGATGTGATTGACTTCAAACTCCAAGAAGGTTTTTGACAGCCCCAACACTATCTGCAGGCACTTCAGTAGTGCAGAATCTTTAGTCTGATACTCTCCCCTTCCTTGTCCCACAATCAGCTGCGAGTCAGTCTTTATTATCAAATGGGTCACTCCGACTTCTTTATCCAGTTACATTCCTGCTATCAGAGCCTCATATTCTGCCTGGTTATTACTGGCTTGGAAATTGAAACCCAAAGAATATTCTAGTATGAAGTCTCCTGGTCTTTCAAGTACAATCCCGGCCCCACTCCCTTTAAAGTTGGATGAGTCGTCTACATGAAGAATCCATATGCTTTCACTTTCCTCTGGTATAGGGTTACTCAACATGACCAGAAAATCGACCAACACCTGTGATTTAATGCTTGTCCTTAGGGTGAACTCTATGTCGTACTCGAATAGTTCCATAACCCATGTGACCATTCTCCCGGCCAAGCCGAGCTTCTTTAGTATCTGTTTTATTGAATAGTTGGTTCTCACAATTATCAAATGGCCCTGAAAATAGTGTCTTAGCTTTCGTGTCATTATCAGCAATGCCAACGCCAATCTTTCTATTTTCTGATATCGCATCTCGGCCCCTTTCAAGACCTTGCTAACGAAGTACACCGGCATCTCCCTGTCTTCTCCCTCTTGCTCAAGAATATAGATCATGGCCCTATCAGATATAAACAAGTACAAGATCACGGGCACATTCTCTTTTGGCCTTGTCAATATAGGAGGAAAGGACAGAAAATGCTTCACGTTCCGGATGGCTTCTTCGCACGCCATTGTCCACTCGAACTCTTCTGACTTTCTGAGAACTGCAAAGAAGTGGATTTAGTTATCACATGCACATGATAGAAAACGAGATAAGGCGGCTAGCTTTCCTTTCAACTGTTTCACCTATTTCTTTGAGGATGTACTTCTCATGTCTATAATCGCTTGACACTTGTCGGGATTGGCTTCTATTCCCCAGTTTGTGAGCATGAACCCTAGGAATTTATCAGCTTGCACCCTGAAGATGCATTTATCTGGACTTAGCCTCATATCATTTTTCCTTATTGGCATGAGTGTCTCTGTCAGATTTACGACGTTCCATTTCTCGGTGACGGTTTTGATGATCATGTCGTCCACAAACAACTCTAAATTCCTTCTGATTTGGGTAGAAAATACTTTGTCCATCAACCTCTGGTAAGTGGCTCCAGCATTTTTGAGGCCAAATGGCATCACCTCGTAGTAGTAAATACCCTGGTCCATCATGAAAGTTGTTTTCGGTGCGTTGGCCGGGCTCATGCAAATTTTGTTGTACCCAAAATAGGAATCCATAAATATGAGTAGTTTGTATCCTGACGTCTTGCCAATAAGCCGGTCTATCTGCAGAAATGAGTATGGATCTTTGGGACACACTTTGTTGAGGTCAATGAAGTTGACACACATACGTCATTTTTCCGATTTCTTTTTTACCATCACCACATTGGACAACCAAGTAGATTACTTGATTTCCTTGATGAATAAGGCGCCAAGCAGCTTCCCGACTTCTTCTTTCACAACCTTTCTCTTCTCTTTGCCTCCTTTCTGTTTCTTCTGAGATATTGGTTTCATATCAGGGTCCAATGCCAAATGGTGACACATGAAGTTTGGATCTATCCCGAGCATATCTGAGGCTTCCAGGCGAACATATCAACATTATATTTTAATATTGTCACGATCTCTTCTTCCTCTTCCAAGGACAGGTTGACGCTGGTGTATGTTATCTCGAAAGGCATGTTGTCGATCTGGACTTTTTTGGTATCATCATGAGGAGATAAGTTGTCCTATGATGGGTTATCACGTGGGTCTATGTCGACCATGTTAACCTTGAGATCATTCAAGTTCCTGGATTCCCTGGGTTGAATCCTCTTTTTAAGCTTCAGACCGTCCTTATAGCATTTTCTTGCGAGCCCCTGATCACCTTTGACCACCCCAACCCGACCATCTCCCAAAGGGTATTTCATTGTGAGGTATAGGTTGGAGAGTGCAGCGTCTAGAAAGTTAACTGATGGTCTCCCCATGATGATGTTATAAGGAGAGGAAACATTGATAATTAAGTACCTTACTCTGACTGCTTTTACATTCGCTCCACTTCCAAAGGTAGTTAGCACTGGCAGGTGCCCTAGCACTTGCACTTGTTCTCGGGAGAATCCGACCAAGGTGTCGTTAAAGGATAGAAACTCGGTCGTATCAAACTCTATTCCTTTGAAGGCGTACCAATAGAGTATGTCAACAGAGCTTCTGGGGTCTACCAGGACCCGTTTTACGCTCCAATCCCGGATTTTCACCTTAACGGCCATCTGATTGTTTTCGTGAGCAAGAATTCCCACAACGTCCTGCTTGGAGAAATTGACGGGTTTTAAATCCTGCTCTTGAACCTTGATTGTCTCTTCGAACACGTGCATTATAGCCCGATCATACCTCTTCCTGGCTGAGCTTGTTTCTCTGCCCCCGGC